GAATAGCTGAGATCAACACCGGGAGGATTACTCCATAGCTTAGAGGCCTGCCGAGTATTCTAGGGGAAAGGACAGTTCAGATAGGAAAGGGAACACCAAATGGAGGGTGTTTGGAGGATCCTCCCAGGAGGGGAGATGCAGGTTGAAAGTAGACTGGACTGAACATGTTCGCCACTCAATGCCTCTTTTGCTGATCACAACACCCAAAGGGAGAGAGAGAACAAAAGGGAATGCCCTGCCACAGTGGCAGGGGGGGATGGGGGGATGGGGGGGATGGGGGGGAGGGATATTATCCTGGTGGTGGAAAATGGGCACTGGTGGAGGGATGGGTATTTGATCGTGGTATGGCCGAGATCCAAGCACAAAAAATTGTAAATCTACAACTGTACCTCATGGTGTTTCACTAATAATAAAAAAAAAAAAAGCAAAAGTCCTCTCTGAATTTCTTCTAGGTCTGGAGCAATAGCACAGAGGTAGGGTGTTTGCCTTACAAGCAGCCAACATGGTCGACCCGAGTTCAATTCCTCCGCCCCTCTAGGAGAGCCCGGCAAGCTACCGAGAGTATCTCGCCTGCACGGCAGAGTCTGGCAAGCTACCCGTGACGTATTCGATATGCCACACACAGTAATAAGAAGTCTCATGATCTCCATCGTTAGTGGGCCCGCTCGAGTAAATCTATGAACAATGGGAGGACCGTTATTATTATTTTTATTTAAAATAGGCAGCAGTCATTTCTTTCACCAAAGTGAAGTAACAAAACACAAACTTTCCAAAAGTGGTGCATACCTGTACTAGATTTTGCCTTTCCATGTACTGACAATAGAAAGGGTCTTCTTGAAAGGAAGTCTCTGCTGGGAATTCACACCCTTCACCCACCCACCACCAGGTTACATGCAAGCCATGCTCACCTCTATGAGGAGTCTGACCCCATTGCAACTTGATCTGTATGGTAGGCAACTTTGAAAACTACATAAGGTAGTACCCTGAATGTAGCTGCCTTTCAAAATACAGAGAAATTAAACCCTTCATCAGCTCTCCCATTACCATGTGTTAATTGATCCATAAAACAAGAGGTTCCATTGATTTGCTAAGAAAGATTCATTGCATATTATCCCCTAATCTGATTTAAATGTGTTGACCCTGTGCCAATCTTGCCTAGACATCATTCTGCTCTAAAATATTTTTAACAACATTCTTATGAATATGATTTCTCACTGAATCACCCTCTTTGAGTAAGGAAAGTCAAAACTCTCAGTGTTAGCATGGAAGATGCTTGTTGGAGAGGACTTAGGAGAAACACAGCTGCTGCTGTTGGCTCCAGATTTCTGCCTCACACTAAGGATTTGTTGGTGTTGATGTTTTTTTCCCCTGTGTGAAGAGAGGACACAAAGAATGGAGGAGAAATTTGCCCAGATTCTTTGGGAGGCCAAATTCTGAGTGGATTCTGGGTTTACTCCAAGATCTCCTCTCTACCCAGGTGATGTTCCTCTTGATTATCCTTTTGCTGCTTATTCCTTTTGTGCAATCTCTTTCCCTTCTCTTCTCATCTTCATGCTTGTGCAGAACTAAAATCCATGGATTAGTATAAATTAAAATGCTAGGTTAGGGCTCAATTGTAGAGCCTTGCATGTGTGAGGGCCTGGACTTCATTGTCAGCACTAAAAAATAAATATTAAAATGCTACAGGACTAGAAAGATATCAACTAGATAAATACTTTCACATGGGAAAAATACAGAAAGAAATCTACCCAATATTAACAATTGCTACTTCGAGATGGTGGGATTATGAGTAATTTATTTTCTACTCTCAAAGCTTAGGGTATTTTCAAAGCTTCTTCTATGACCATGTGTTACTATTTTAACCAGAAAAAATATAAATAAATCAGTAGCTACGAGTGAATACAACTGTGTTTCTGAAAACCCAAGGACAAGCACTGGATTATGGAGCAGAGCTAGAGCAAATGAATGGGGCATCTTTCACATGCCCTCTCCCCCCGAGTGGGCCTGAAAAATCAGATCCATTCAGGGGTCTTGCTCCAAGAAGGTCCACTCAGAGTTAGCTTGGGAGTTTAGCCTCCTGGTAAATGCCTTGGCTTTCGTTTCAGAAACAGAATTGAGGATGTCAGTCTGGACTTCGATCTCATTTAATTTGAAGGAGCTTATCTCATTTAATTTGGTGGAGTTTATCTGCTTGGACTCAAAAGGGATGGTCAGGAATTGTATTTATCTTGGGTACCTCTTTTCTCTGAAGAGAACAATGAGCAAAAAAAAACCAGCAGCACAAGAACGAAAAATGACGGCACACTGCAGCAACATCGAGTTTTTTCCCTCTTACCCTAAGCACCAGGAAGGTTCCTGGACACACTCTGCTTCCACATGTCCACATGCAACTGCCTTCCCATTGGTGAGGTAGAGGTGGAGGGTGGAGCTGACACTACATAGAGAATTAATAATGGGGGTGGGGATTGGAGAGATAACATAGAAGGTAGGGTGTTTGCCCTGCATGCAGTCAACCAGGGCTCAGTCCCCAGCATTCCATATGGTTCTCTGAGCAATGCCAAGAGTAATTCCTGAGTATAAAGTCAGAAGTAACCCTGACAATTGCTGGGTGTGCCTCTCCCTCACAAAAAAAGAAAATTAATAAAGGGGAATGGAGCCAGAGAGATAGTACAAGGCATTTGCCTTGTATGTGACCAACCCAGTTTTGATTCCCAGAATTCTGCATGGTTCCCTGAGCATTGCCAGGAATAATTCTTAAGTGAAAATCCAGGAGTAACCCCTGAGCACCATAGAGTATGACTCTCCCCACCCCACACCCCCCCGAAAAAAGAAGAAATTTATAAGCTGGGAAGGGATCTAGAAGGGACAGAGCCTTGGATTAGATCCCTTAAAAGATTCCCATATGACAATATCATGCCCCACATTGAGAGCTTCAAGACTCACATAGATCAAAGAGTTTACTTCCAACTGTAGGAAAAGGATTAGAAGTTACTGGCTGAGTTAGAAGTTTCTGGAGGGAGGGGGGGGGTTACCCCAGCCCATTTGCTGCCACTCTGGAAGACTTCCGACAGTAAGTTTTATAGTCATGTCCATCAAGAACATCTGCTCTACATTATATTAATTGAGACGAGTTCTGCATGCCAGGGGCTGTGCTGAGCCCTTTGACTCTTATCTCCTTGTTTGATTCCCTCAAAGACAATTACTATCCTTATTTCACTCAAGAGGACCTGGAGTAAAATCAGGTTCCATGCTCAAGTGGAAATCTTAGGGTGTTCACTTCCTGGGGCTCTCCTAACTAGCCGCAAGATTGGTATCTTCAGACAACAGAAATAACTTTTCTCACGGTTCTGGGGACTCCCCATTCAAACTGAAGCTGGCAGCAGAACAGGTCCCCCTGTGGAGGCTCCGTGCAAGATTTTTCCTCCCCCTCTTCAGGCCCCTGGTCATACCAAGCACTTCTTGGTCCATGGCAGCATAACTCCAATCCCTTCCTCTTTGCTCATTCACTGGCTTAAACAACTATCACAGCCACTATGGTGATAGTTGCTGTTGGCCACTATTCACAATTTGCCATTCACGTTTGAAATGTATATAATGGTATTCTGAAAAGTTCACAGAATCTCTGTTGACTATGGACACCCCTAGGCTGACACTGAAAATGGGCTTTGGTTTACCTGGTTACAGAGCCTTTTTTTTTATGGTACTTGTCATCCCCTCCTGGAATAAAAAGTGGATGTTCTTCTGTGGGGAGAGTAAATACCTGGTACTAGAACAAAATCTAGTTTGGTGGTTCCCTATTTAGCCCGTGCATTAAATTTCCACAGTTTTTCTCAGAGGCAGAAGCATAATTCCTCTCCCCAGAAGTACTAACCCTGTGTCTCAAAGAAGAAAGCCCAGACCTGGCCATCTTCTCCTGCATCCAGCAGTTCCTACGCTGCATAATGGCACTAGCCATACTGAACTCCGGACAACCTGATCCAGAGTGATCTTATTTCAACACTTTACACCTCCAAAGATGCTGCTTCCAAATGCTGTTCCATTCTGAGGTTCCCAATGTGCAGCAATGTTGGGAAATGCTCCAGACTCTAAGACCACTGGTACTGGACTTGACAGTCTAACTGTAGAGCTGACATTTGAACTTCTGGCTCCTTCTGGCTACTGGGGCCTCTTGCTCTGTTAGCACAAAAGTGGGCAACAGAGAAAGCACCACCTGGCTCCATAACCAATCACTGGTGATGTATCAAATACAGATATGGGGTGGGGAGGGGTAGGGCGGAAGTACCCACTGCTGAAGTATCTGCGTGGACTTCCGTATGTCACAGACACCTAGAGAAGCAAAAGATGCAGTAGAGTAGACATGAACTCAGGCAGCTGGGATGGGCTGGGAGGAAACACAGAGAAGAAGAAAGCAAGACCCACAGTGGCCTGTTGGAAAGTACGTGTGCCGGGGAGCACGGGAAGGCACCATGGAAATGTTTCAAAGACAAGCAAAAGATCTGGACCTCAGTGGGAAGGGAAGAAAACATGCAACTGAGACCAAAATGGTAAAATTCAGGCCTAAAGACTCCTCTAGCAAAGGTGGGCAGGGTGAGGGTGGGGCCTGGAAAAGCTGAGTGTCCGATGTCTTGACCAAACATGCTCTCGTGTGTGTGTGCCAGCAATCAGGGGCGCTGTGTTCACGTCTTCTCAGGACATTTTAACAACTTGAACTATTTAACAACTTAGACAATAAACCAAGTACGCAGATGCTCACCATACTTTGATCCTTGCTCTCGGCGAGCCCTCCTCATTGCAAACTCCAACACATACTCTCTCTCTCTCTCTCTCTCTCTCTTTCTCACACACACACACACACACACACACACACACACACACCAGTTTCCCTCCCAACACCAGCTTGCACCACAGCCAATAGTTGAGTGAAGAAAAAGGTAAGGGAATGAGACATGAAATTGCCTGTATCAACAACCAAGAAAGAAGGCATCCAGGACATAAATCACCTTTGCAGCGCTCACAACAGGCTCCCCTCTGCTTGACGGCCAGCGCACAGTCTCGGGACAGCACGGGACACTTCTCTCTCTTACACGTCACTTCCTTGTTCTAGGCAAAAAAGAAAAAGAAAGGAAGAGAGAGAGAGGGGAGAGAGAGGGAGAGAGAGAGAAAGAGGTATTTGAGATAAACTTCAAACAGAATTCTGACATGACGCAGAGTTCTTCCTAACTTCCTCCTCCTTTCATACTTGCCTCATCTTTGGCTAGAAAACCCCGTGACAGCAAATAGCAGTTTGTTCTGCCTAGAACAGAAATACTCATCGAGGAACATAACATCTTGTGAGATTAAGGGAGATAAGAGAGGAAGAAAAGTTCCTTCTTTGTAAACCAGTTTAACCCAGATAACTGAATGGTGAGAGATTTTCTCCCGTTCTGTTCTAAAGTTTCTTTTCAGCACGCAGTATAGAAACGATAATATTTGCGTAAATCATATTTTGCCGATTGGGCTACCTGGGCCAGGACTGCATCGTGAGAACAAAAATATTTGCACATGGCTGTCCAACAATTCCTAATAAGAGAGTATATTAAAATGCAGTAATCTAAAGTTCCAACTCAAATAATGACAAAGTTGAAGACTGAATCAGCTCAGTAAGAGAAAAAATAATATTCCCCATGCCAAGCTGAGACACAGTCTCAGTGTTTTATGGTCGTGGGACAGCTGCATTATATTAGCACTTATGCTAATGAAAGTGTGCTGAGCATTTGCATCCTCTGTTTTCTCCTGAAAGGTTAGCTGTTAAAATGTCTCAGAGAAGATCTGAACATGATGTATATACTTGCTGGAACCCAGACTGGACGCACATGAATAAAAGCTTCATGTCACGGAAATCACTCCAACAAGAGTTCCACTTTAACGGGGCCCTGCTATAGGCTGAGTAGGGTGGCTTTCTCTCTAATCTAACCGTGAGAGATAAGTTTAATCATGACCCCAGGGTTACAAATAAGACCCCAGCTCAGAGAAGAGCTCTCTGGAGAGAGAAGTGTCTCTCCAAACAGCAGCGCCCTGCAGTGGGAAGGTGGATTTCTAGTGGACTCAGTGACATGTGCACATTTACTCTCTGCCCTTTGATGCAGGTTGGCACTACCATATTCGTAGTCACATGTGGAGGTTAGACTGGAGAGAAGAGAAATGACTGCTCTCTCACCTAGAGATGGACCTGGAATCCTCCTGCAATACATGCAGGAGAAATTCTAATTCAACCCCGATGGTGACCTTGGAAAGATCCACAAGTGAACTTCCATGTCATAGAGCAAAATAGTTCTCACCATTAGAGGTCCATAACCAACAAGGGGTGTGTGTGTGTAAGTAGTATTGGGGGAGGGTTCTATGGGTGGTAGGGTAGCTGAATAGTCTGGAGGTACAAGTCAAACCCATACAACCAAATCCAGCCCCAAGACAAAACCCACCACCTGTGCTGCCTCAAACACTTGGGGGAGTTCTTGCAACCCCAAGATGTTCCCAGGATACAATTCTAAAATGAATCTAGAGTTGATTGTAACCTTTTTCAAATGATCAGAACCACCCAGAGTCCCTTTCCTCCCCCTCCTTAACCCCTTAACCCCTGTAAAAACAGTTCCTCTAGCCCCCTTTCTTTAAAGTCTCTTTTCCTACTTTATGTGATAAGGGGCCTCTTTGGGCTAATCTCACTGAATCCTTAACGTCTTAGGAGGCATTAGGCCTCATTGATCTACAAATCAGAACTCTGTGCAATCTGACCTTCCTTTCTTCCTATCCCCCCACCCCGCCACAAGAGGCCTGCGAGCCTAAGGGCAGGGGCTCATCTTCCCTGTAGCTCTGTTTCTACTTCAGTACCTGCAGTTCTCTAACCCCACGGCTACGCAAGGCAGGAAGGCATGGGGGCATGATGCACCTACCAGGGACAGAGCTGCCTAAGCTTTCCCATCTGATGAAACCCAGGTAGCAGCCATCTTTGTCAATGAGGAACCCTGAATCCACTGTGGCAAACACACTGATGAGGTTAACCGGGAGACCTGCCCGGCTGCCTGGAAGGGACCATGTCCCTGCCCCACCACTGGTGCTCCTCTGCTGCTGTTCCCATTTTCACTTCTTAGTTGTCAGTGTCTGAAGGCATAGCTCAAGTGAGTAACCTGTCTCCTTATTGGTGGCATTGGGACGAAGTTGGAAGATGGTGCTTAGGGCTAAGTCCTGGCTCTGGGCTCAGGAGTGACCACTGGTGGTGATCAGGGGAGCAAAACTGCGCAAGGGACAGCCACAAACAAGGCAACCCCATAAAAACAGTTTCTCCAGCCCCCTTTCTTTAAAGTCTCTTTTGGTATGTTATGTGATAAGGGGCCTCTTTGGACTAATCTCACTGAATCCTTAACATTTTGGGAGACATTAGGCCTCATTGAGCTACAAATCAGAACTCCTGTGCAATCTGTCCTTCCTTCCTTCCTTCCTTCCTTCCTTCCTTCCTTCCTTCCTTCCTTCCTTCCTTCTTTCCTTCCTTCCTTCCTTCCTTCCTCTCTTCATTTTCAGGTGTATAATTTAGTATTTCAACATCTGTGTAAACTCCGTTATCATTACCACTAAAAGACTAGCATCTATACACCACAATAAAATACATACCTTTTATCAATCTTACCCACCCATCCCCATCCTTTTTATCTTCTAGTAAGCACCATTATTTAGTTATTTCATTTTTTTCATTATAGTCAAGGGTTTGTTTTTATTTTCTTTGTTCACTGCTTTGTTTCTCAATCTTCTATATATGAGATAAGCCATCCATATTTATTCTTCCTGTCCGACTTATTTCACTTAACACAATGCTCTCAAGGCCCATCCATCCTACCACAGAGGTGAGTCTTCATCTTTTCTCTTCTCTCTCTCTCTCTCTCTCTCTCTCTCTCTCTCTCTCTCTCTCTCTTTCCCTCTAATAGCCTAATTGTATTCCACTGTATGTGGTGGGAGATCCATATATGTAGATCCACTTATTCATTGGTGGGTACTTAAGTTCTTGTTTCTAGATCTTGGATATTGTTAATAGTGCTACATGTAAATCTGGGATACATGTAACTTTTAAAATTACTATTTTCATGTTCTTTGGATAATACCCAGAAATAGAATAGTCAGTAATTCTATTAATTTTTTTGAAATCTCCATATTCTTTCCTTACAAATTCACATCCTGCCAATAGGGTGAGAGGGCTCCTTTCTTCACACCTCCACCAACACTCATCTGCTTCCTTTTTTGATTATAGAGAATCTAACAGCTGTAATGTGATATATCATTCTCACTGTGGCTTTGAGTTGCATTTCCCTAATAATAAAAGATGATTCACACTTTTTTGTGTGTCTCTCAGCCATTTTCAGGTCTTCTTTGGTGAAATGTCTGCTTAAGTCCCCTGCACACTTTTTAAATAAGATTGTTTGGTTATGATTGTCGAGTTGTATGATTTGTTTATATATTTGAGGTAAGGATCCCTTGTCAGATATATTTATTTTCAAGTATATTCCTCCATTCAGAAAACTGCCTTTCCAGTGGCTGGAGTGATAGTAAAGTGGGTAGGGCATCTGCCTTGCACGTGGCTGATCCGGGTTCCTTCCCCAGCATCCCATCTGGCCCCCTAAGCACAGAGCCAGAAGTGATTTCTAAGTGCAGTGCCAGGACGAAGCCTGAGTACCACTGGAAAAAAAAAAAAACAGAAAATTGCCATTTTTATTTTGACAATGTTTGGGTTTTATTTTGCTGCACAAAAACATTTTTATTTGATGTAATCCCACGTGTTTATATTTGATACCCCATAATCCCTACACACCCTCCCCACATCATTAGAAATGAACTAGAAAGATAGACCTCGAAGAGTTTGTTTTCTAGTTTTATTCTATGTACTTTGTTGTTTGAGATCTTAATTCCAAGTACTTAATTCATTTTGAGTTAATTCTTCTGAATGTGTAAGATAGCAATCATTTCATTCTACTGCATGTCCGTTTGTCCAACACCATTTAACAAAGAAAATTTCCTCTCAGCTCTATTGTCATCATTTAATTAAGCATATATGTGAAGGTTTATTTCTGAACTCTCAGTTCTCTGCTGTATTCCTTTGTTTGTTTGTTTGTTTTGGGGCCATACCTGGTGATGCTCAGGAGCTACTCCTGGCTTTTCACTCAGAAATTATTCCTGACAGTGCTCAGGGGACCACATAGGATGCTGGAGAATGAACCCAGTGGGCCACAAGTAACGCGAATGCCTTACCCACTGTACTATCTCTCACACCTCTGTATGCCCATTTTTATTCTAATACCATACAGTTCCCATTATTGTAGCTTCATTGTAGCACTGTGGCACTATCCTCCTGTTGTTCATCGATTTGCTTGAGCGGGCACTGGTAACGTCGCCATTGTGAGGTTTTTGTTGTTACTGTTTTTGGCATATCAGATATGCCACGGGGAGCTTGCCAGGCCCTGCCATGTGGGTGGGATACTCTTGGTATCTTGCTTATTGCTTCATTGTATAGTTTAAAATGAGAGCACTTGATATCTTTATTTCATCCTTTTAGTCAACATTGCATTGACTATTTGATGTCTTTATAGTTGCATGCAAATCTTAGAATTTTTGGTTCTATTTTTGAGAAGAGTATCTTTGATAGAAATTGTACTGAACAAAATGCTGCTTTAAGTGATCTGCACCAGACATCCAGGCTCCCAGGCGCCTCCACTCTCCCATTCCTCCCTCTCTGCTTCATAATAATGGTGGGATCAAGTCTCACTGGGAGCCATGCCCTTATATTTCTTTTCATAATTTTCTTAAGTTACAAAGGGGGAGGTCTCAAGTGACCCCAATCTCATAAAACCTCTTTCCTTTGTATCATGTGAATAATCAAGACCAAAGAAGATTTTTGTGATCTTAGCCTCACACTCAGTTGTTTTTTCCAACTTGTGTGACGTACGTTGAGACACATTCCTGGGCCTGCCATCTCTTATGCATCTCTTGTGTCCTTTACTTCATATGACCTGGGGATAGAAGTGGTACTTAAGGTTTTTTTCTTCTCATGTAGAAGATGCCCCTAGTGCCTTTGGGTGTCTATG